TATCGAGGGCCCCACAATTTGTTTGTTTTGTTTAGCGAGGCTCGTCTCGTTTTATTATTGAAAGGGCAAATCTAAAGCAATCTATAATTTCCTATCTTAAATTGTCCCTAATGATATAATCCTAATGCATTTGTTATTGTACTAAAGCAAACTAGTAGAACAATGGCATTCAGGACTACATCACAGAAGGGCCGATCACAGGCCTTGGCCCAGGCCCAAACGTGCACGGGATACACGAAGAGCACCGCTCATTAAGGCACGGAGGCCTACACGTTTAACAATGGGCTGTTGAACCTAAATCCTTAAAATAGACCAAGCTTCAATTCAATTTAAACAAGTAGCCACTGAAACTGCTTCAATTTATTCTACTCACATCCAGATAATATTGACCCTTTAAATTTCAATTCATGCTCATATTAATCTACTCCCCTATCTGTTGGTAAATTCCTAAAGATTACTAACGTTGGAGATTAAAAGCAGATTAATCACATAGATCTATTGGAATTAACTATTGAAACAGGAAATCGTATTTTTATTACTCACATAGATCTGAAACAATTCACGAGTCATCTCACGAAAGCATTCTATGAAACAAATTAGCTAACATTCATAGTACTCATATGGATCTGAAATATAGCACTCTACATAGTTCTAGTCCAATTATACAATTCCAACTACAATGACTAAATTAATTTCTAGAACAAGAGGGAAAACAGTCCAATTATACAACTCCTCAAAACCTAAGTCATCACATGTCAAATACTGATACCATACATAACTAATGTGTACGTAAACATCAACAGGAGCAAACTATCATGTGAAAAACATATGAATGAATGACTAAAACTCTAAACATTTCAGCTTTCTATTCCAACAATGCTTCAGTTACAGATTTCCTAAGTTTCAGCCATTGGAGATTGAACATGTACCGGGAAAATGAAGAAAATGTGAGAGAGTAATGAGTCAGCAGTGCAGACAACAGTCAACAACAATGGTATTTCAACAGCAGCACCGAAATTACTCTCAAACTCAAAATCGATTCAGAAATAGCCCAGGATTGAACTCAAAAACTCAACAGCAGTCAGTTGATCAACAAACAAACTCATTTGACATCAAGTTTATGCGAAATCGAACTATGAAGCTTCAGGATGAATCAATGCAACTTTTTTGATTTTTTTAGAGAGTTTTCTATTGTTTTTCGACAGGATCTAGACCTAAGTAAACGCTTGAGCCATCAGATCAGAATTTCTAACTCCTTTTATTTGAAATTCAAATTTTGGATTTCAGATTTGCAGAATGGTTGTGGGAGGGGAATTTTTTTTGGGTTCCAAAACTTGTTCCCTAAGGCACTAGTCATGTCTTTTATAGGCAAAGATAAGGGCAACCCTCAATTTCTGTTTTACACTCAGTCCCTGTTTATTTACTCATTTAGTCCCCTACTTATTGACTTGTTACACAAGTAAGCACACTATATTTTCCTAAAATTCCAAATTGGACCCCATTCTAGAATGTTCTAGGAAGTTCTAGATCCATTGCTAAGATTCCTTATCCCTGAATTTCCCCAACTACCCTCGACTTATCCCAGAACTACTGATGTAGGACAACTATACCCAAACAATTCCTAAGATCTGAATTTCAGCTTCAAAATTGCAATCCTAATTCAAACTATTAACTAACCTATTCATTGAAACAAATTAACAGCAACAATCAACCAAACTAATCACAAGCTAAACTTAATCAGAATTGATAACCAAAGAAAAACAACGAACGGAATTATAAACAGAGAAGAATCAGACACTCAGTAAAAATCAACTAACAACACTTAACAAAATCCAAACTGAAACACTCAAAGACAAAGACAGGCAGGAAACTAATTCAAATGTTAAAGCGACCTAATTAGGCTAAGTGATTAAACAAAAATAAAACAAGTTTAAACCAAAAAGAGGTTCAGAAAGAGGAAAAGGAGACAGAGATGAGGGGGAACGATAGTAAAAACAACAAATATGAACAAAAGATAAAGAAACTTATTAGTCTAAGAGCTTGAATTCAAACATTCCAAAGAAAAACGGAGCAGAAGCCTAAACACTTGAGTCTCGAATTGGACTTTTCAGTTTCAACATTCAAGGAGCGTGACTGTCATTCGAGGTATAAGGACGACAGAGTCAAGATGAGGGAAGGAAGGCGCCCCTAGGGTGTTAATTTGGGGCCAAACGGGTGAACTAGGGTTTTGGGGGTCAGAATTTGATTCAAGATTCGAACGGGTAGAGGGTGATTCGAAGTAAAAGGGGTGTGGATTCGGGATGTAAGGGGGAAGGTGAACCCATGGTGTAAATTTGGGGTCATTTGGAAGGGTGTCGCCGCCGTGCACGGCGGTGGCGGCGCTAGGGTTTGGTATATTTGGGGCATTTGGTTAGGATTTGGGATAAATGGGGGGTGGATTCGGAAAGAGGGGAACGAGGAGAGGGGATGGTGTGAATTTGGGAGGATTTGGACAACTGCCGCCGCCGTGGGCGATTTCCGGCGGCAGCGTGCGGTGGTGTTACAGGGTCTGTGGATAGGGTGTGTTTGAGACGATGAAACGGGGGTGGGGGGAGGGGTGTTCCGACCATTTTATATTATGTTTACCCCAGTTCCCCACCGTTGATCCAATCTACCTCGACGGTCCAGATTAAAACGACCAAACGACGTCGTTTGGATTATGTGGGGGCAGGCCGGGTGAGGGTTATGGTTTTGGGCTTGGGGCGACCGTCCTGGGCTGGTATTTTTTCATTCAAACATGGCCCAAATTTCTTCTTTACTTGTTCCCTTTGTTTTCTTTCTTTTTATTTCATTTTATATTTATGTTTTTTTTCTCTGATTTTATTAAAATGCAAAAATTAAAATGAAACCTAATTAAGCTAATTAATTCCTACAAAATTGATTAAATCCTATTCAAAAGTAAAATCATGACAAATTCACAATTAAAATGCAAAGAATGGACTATTCCTGTGATTTTCCTTATATTTCGTTTTAAAAACAACTGAACTACTAATTAATCCTAGAATATGAAACTAAAACCTAAAAACAAATGTCAAGCGTATTGTTTTATATTTTTCATAAAAATGCACAAATAAAATGCAACAATTATCAGAAATTAACACAAAAATTCACAAAAATTGTAAAATAATAAAGAAATCATCTTGTTTGAATTTTTGGGAACAATTCACTTAGGTCAAAAATCACGTGCTCACAGATATAATTATTATTAGTTGTGTATATCATTTATTGTTTTGATTTATTAAAAGACGAGATTCTTTCATGGGTCAATAAGCCTGGTAAATTGGACAATAATGATATACATTGACGAAGTAATTATTAGTTGATAAAATTCATGTCTCCGTTTTTGAGATTGATGATACTCCTTTATGAAAGCTTATAGGTTTTCATGTGTAAACCCGCCCGGTGAATTTTGTATCCGAAAGCGAAAGTCTAAAGGACGTAATCAATAAATTGAATTGTCATTAATTTAATTTGATTGGTTAGTATCTGAATCTTAACATGTAGAGTTAAATAACGTTTTATGGAAGAATTTCGAAATTGAACTAAGGAGTGCAATTGCGAATTTTTAGTGGAATAATTCGTAATTTATTATAAGAAATTAATTTCAAAATTTGAAATTAATTCCATAATAGGAAGCTTTGTTAATTAAATTCTGTGGTCCCTACTGTGCCTAAGTAATAGGAAATAAAGGAAACCTTTCCTTAGTGGAAGATGAAAACCTAACAGGTTTTGGAAAAGGGTTTTAACCTAAAAAAAATGTAGCTATATATACATGGGATATGACTGGCCGTTTTTTGCATTGAAAAAACACACATTTTTGTTCCTTGAATTTCGCCAACCCAAAATTCTCTCTTTCCGGATATTATTTGGGTAACAATAGAAGACTGTGGAAGTTTGTTGAGGTCTTGCAACTCTGGGACTGGAGACGAATATTGATTTGCTTTGTTCGCGCTTCAAGAGGTAACTCGAATAATCTCCGTATGTGCTAATTGTTTAATTCACACGTGAATATGATACTGCAATTGCTTCCGCTGCGATATATAATCCAACAGGTCCTTATTTACTGGTTATTGTTATTGCGTTTCATCTATTTTCTGGTTCTTATGATGTTATTATTTCTATTGTTTCTGTTGATGGTACTGATATATTGTCTCTTTTCGTCTTTTTCGTTTTCTTGAGCTGAGACCTCTCTATTTCATCGGGTTAAATGTAAGGTTTGCATACACACTATCCTCCCTATGCCCCTCACCTGTGAAATTTTACTGAATTGTTGTTGTTGTTGTTATGGAAGAGTATTAGTAAATAAAATTGTCAAGGAGTTTCACGAAAGCATTATAAAAAGTTTAAGAGGCTATTTTACTATTTATGTATTTGAATTTTGAATTGGGTAAATATTTCACTCAAATCTTTTGAGGCAGCAATTATTTGCTAGATTATAGTTCCTTCATTACACAAAATTATTTACCAAAAACCGAAAAATAATAAGCTGGGGAGGGGTGTGTATAAGTGATCACTTTCCCTCGGGGGAAGTACATATGAATCTTAAAATGATGTCATATGAGGGATGCATGCCAACGTGTCATTTTTTGGTGAAACAAAGAGCAGCAACGTGTTGTTCTTTGGTTTGTGTTTCTATCACCCTTTTCTAGACACTGTTAAATATATGTTTAATAGTAACATATTTTGTTAAAATTAAGTATTTTACTCACACTTATTATGTACATCAAATTAAATTATATATTATATAATTAAGTGATAAAATTTATATAAATCACACACACTTGTGTTTACGTAAATAGTTTGTGTGAATAAACATTTCAAGAAAAAAAAAAAGAAAAAAGAAATCCTCAAACGGATAGGACTAGGACGATTTTTGTTCATAATTATATTGGAAGGACAAGGTTAAACAAATAGTACCAAATTTAAGGGACTTATCTCTAAATTATTATTATTAATTTTTTTTGATAAAGAGATTCCAGCAGATATTTTTAATTTTAAGGAATATTCTTGTCAAGGGTTGATTGGAATCTCATCCCTTTACTGTTCCCCTGTGAGAGTCTCCACACTCCCACCATCTCTCAAGACTTGTGTCAAATGGCTTCTCAAGATCACCATATGCATGACCATGACCATCATCATCATCATGACCATAGCCATGAGTATTTTCCCTTAAGATATCTCAGCATCAAATTCACAAACTTACTCTGTCATTTTTTGTTTTGTTTGATTCTTTATTAAATAAATTTGTCTTAATTTATTATCATCAGGGATGCAAAGACAACAACATGGGTAGGAGCAGATGGGAAGGTATACCATAGCCATGATGGGCTGGCTCCTCACTCCCATGAACCAATATACTCTCCTGGCTACTTTACCAGAAGAGCACCTCCACTTATTAACAGGAACTTCAATGAAAGAGCTTTTACTATTGGAATTGGTGGCCCTGTTGGTACTGGGTATTTCTTGCTTTCCCTCAATTTTCATTTTCCAATTTTCATAAATTATTATCTGCATAGTTGGGATGTGTGCACAAGTAAAAGGGTTTCAGTATTTGTTTCCTTCATATCAAATATTGATGTTAGTCTGCCTCATGTATCTTAAATTGAGAGTGATGCCTACAGTTTTAGATTGTTCACCATTCTTGTTTTGTGAGTTTATGCCAAGCTTGAAACTAAAGGTGTATACAAGATTTTAGCTTCAATATATCAGTAACTTTTCCAGTTCTTCACTATTATTAAAGTGCTTTGCAATTTAGTCTTATTTCATTATTTTTAGCTCTCTATGTTTTCCATATGATTTGTAGCATTTAAGCTTTAACCGAGGAAAATGGTAACTATTCTATTTCTATTTTTTTGGTGGGAAGGGGTGAGTAGTAACTGGTGAAAAGGGTGATAAGAGTGAGTGAACAAAAGCGACCTTGAGAAACGAGAGCAGGAAGAGGATTTCTTAATAAGAAGGATTTTTTTTTTCAGGTGCAGCAAGCCAAGTAAATATTGCACATTTTTTTCAGATTAAAGATAATTGAGTCCTTAGAACCCTGCATATAGGACAAAAGTTCTCTCTCTCGCTGCGTGCGTGTGCGTGTATGTGTGTATTTATATATGTGCACATACATTTTCCTTTTTCACTTCAAGTTTTATAAGGTACGGCAACAACAACAATATAATCCCATATGTGGGCTCCGGGGACGGTAGTGTCTACGCAGCCTTACCCCTACCTTGGGAAGGTACTGCAGTGAATTGAATTTTATTGACATTAATTTGTGCTATTGCTTTTCTTCCCCACTTAGTTTTCCTTCTGTAATTAGCTTGTACAAATTTGTTGTTGAACGTGTTGACATCTAAAGGGACTAAATAACCTTTCATTTGCAGGAAAACAGCTTTAATGCTAGCATTATGTAAACTCCTCAGGGACAAATACAGTCTTGCAGCAGTACGTACCGCCAAATGATTTTTGTTTTGCTTTTTCCATAATCCATATTTACTTCATGAATGAGTGTTAGTATGCACAAGTGTTTATAATTTGAGGATTCCCTTTTTTCGTTTGAAGTATGAAGCTAAAGTTTGATCAATGGCCTTCATATCTTTCTCTACTTAATCATTAGAAATTCTAGATGAAGATGCAATTATGTGCAATATGCCTTTTTAATTGAGTCATTCAAGTGGCATAACGATATTCTTTATTCTACACTTGCCTTTTGAAGATTAATTGGATATGTCATGTTTTATTTCTTTCTTCATTAAGAACTCCTCCCAATACATCACAGATTGACATCCGCAGAGACTTCGGACCAAATTTCGGGACTTTACTAGGCATTTCTTAGTTTGACAGGAAATAAGATAATGTGCAAGCATGTGTTTGGTGTTCAGAAACTCCTATGCTCTTTCATCACTTTCCGAATGATGAGTTATTTAAGTTTTGATATATTGCTCCACTATTAACTCTGCTTATCTGCAACATAAGTAATGCAGTATATAGTGCAAGTCTATTTTCATGAAATCTTAGCTTTTTTTCATTTTAAGATATAGAATGAATTTTGTCTTTGTTAAGATGCATTTCTTGTAGGTAACAAATGATATATTCACTAAAGAAGATGGAGAGTTCTTAATAAAACATGGCGCGCTGCCGGAGGAAAGGATACGAGCAGTGGAAACAGGAGGATGTCCGCATGCTGCTATTAGGGAAGATATAAGCATCAACCTTGGACCTCTTGAGGAGCTTTCTAACTTGTACAAAGCAGATATACTACTTTGTGAATCTGGTGGAGGTAATTGGTCATAGAAACTGTTTGTGCACACAAACTAATAAGGATATTTGACTTTATATTTGCAGTAAAATGATGGTCCTCGTGCTGTCACTTCTTTACTTGGTTTGATAAGAAGATAGGATTACCACTACGATCAGATATAACCTGTTTAAGTTTAGGTTTCCTCTCATTTAACCAAATTTCCTTCAATGCAGACAACCTAGCTGCCAACTTCAGTAGGGAACTTGCTGATTACATAATCTACATAATAGATGTATCAGCTGGTGATAAAATTCCTCGAAAAGGAGGTCCTGGAATTACCCAAGCAGATCTCCTTGTATGTTTCTTATTTTGCACGTTTGACTTGTTAAATTTATCAGTTGTAAACTTCTGTATACACATGGTCAAATTATTATATAATTGTTGGTTCTTAAATTGTAGGTGATAAATAAAACCGATTTGGCAGCAGCTGTGGGAGCAGATCTGTCTATCATGGAGCGGGATGCACTTCGGATGCGGGACGGTGGTCCTTTTGTTTTTGCTCAGGTTTATTAACTTTCTCGTCCCTATTCATTTTTTTTGGGGTATATTTATTAGTATAAATAACACTCCGAATTAAATCACGGCCATTCATACTGTGTAGAAATTTGCTAGAATATTGTGCAAATGTGCTATAGTGCGATTAGGAAAAGTGCTAGAGTGCGAGGATAGGATTGTAGGAATGCTTCGACTAGTCTTGTGCTAATATATCCTGCACCACATTCCTTGGACTAGACTTCTGCTATTATATCCTGCACCACCAGGGTGAGTGCCATCCAATTGACACTATTGTATGTTGGCTGGTTCATTGATACTGCTTAGTGCTTACCTACACGACAGGAAGATGTTCCAGGGTCCCTCCCACCCCCACCCCCACCCCACCCCCGGAGAAATTGATTCTCACCTATTGTAATTTTAACGTTCCCTATCTGATGACACTGTCTGGCATATTCCTATTGCAATATGAATGTGTTGATTCAACTGCAGGTGAAGCATGGGGTTGGCGTAGACGACATAGTGAACCACATTTTACAAGCTTGGGAAGTTGCAACAGGCAATAAGAAGCACTGAAATGTCAGCGAAAACTTGTACTTGAACAATGTTGTATCTTTTGGCTTCTCCAATGCCCATCTGATGTTCAATTATCTGTGTCTGGACTAATGTTATATTCTAAATAATGTGCTTTTACATAGTTTATGTACCAAAAGTATGTAACTTACAATTTTCCCATATTTATCTTGGTTCGTTTGGTCATTCTTCCTCCGCCTAAATGTGAGATGTTGCTCTATATTACTTGTTTCATAGTGTTCTGCAGCTTTTGCTAACAATAAAAACCAACAGTTTACAGTTATGTTCGACTTATCCTCTTTATCACTATTTAACTGGAAGTGTATGTAATTGGATGTTAGGATTTTTTTGTCAATAGCTGTAACTATTAACATGGATCTCATTGAAGGATTACCAAAATCCAGTTCTGCAGATGTAATCTTGGTGGTTGTTGATCGATTGAGTAAATAGGAGCTTCATTAATCATATTTATTCTCTTATGTTCTTTTCTTCTCACTTTGGCTGGCAGAAAAAGGTTGTATTTTTTATTGTCCATACTCAATGGCCTGACGGTTGATAGAGCTTTTTATATTGAAGAGAGGAATGGCATGTATAGTCACGTGAGTTAGTGTGGTTAGTTGGATAGTTAGTTATAACTAATTATTGGATTGGTTGTTAGATATTTAGAGAAAGCAGTAAAGTTGATTAGCGTAGTTGTTAGTCATAGTGTATATAAATCAAACACATGTCATTGTATTCTTTCAGATTACAGAAAATAATTTCAGCTCATATGCTCTCTAATGAAGCCTTCATTCTAGAACCTTCTGGTTCATCTTCTTCTTTCCTTTCAATCGAGTAGTTCTTCGATCTTCGTCATAGTATCAAAGCACGGGAGCTAGATGCATGCTCGCTGTGGTTGATATCTTCTGTTTTTGCAGAGTTATTCTGTTGTTGATTGTTCGAGCTTTTCCTCGATCGATTAACCTAGTTTTTTGTTTTTTTCATTTCCAATTGGCGAACTGTAATTCATTGAATCAAAGAGTTAAATTCAACTGAATTTGTTAGCTATGGCGATTGGAGAAGAAACTTCAACTGGAACAAGCACATGAATGAACATAGATCATCATCTCCTCTGTATCTACAGCCTTGTGACATTCCAGGTAGTTCCTTGATTTCTATTCAACTAACTGGAACTGAAAATTATGCATTGTGGAGTAGATCTATGAAAATAGGTCTAATTGGTAAGGGTAAGCTAGGTTTCGTTGGTGGCCGCTGTACTAAGGACAAATCTGATCAATCATTGCATGAGCTTTGGGAGAAATGTAATGCGATAGTTCTGTCATGGATTATGAATGTTGTGAGCAAAGAATTGCTTAGTGGAATTGTGTATAAATCTAGTGCTCACAAAGTCTGGACTGATTTGAAGGATAAATATGATAAGGTCGATGGATCTCGCATCTTCTTCCTACACAAAGAAATTGTTACTTTGTCGCAGGGAATTTCCTCAGTAGCTGCATATTTCTCTAAGTTGATAGACCTCTGGGAGGAATATGAAGCCTTGCCCGGGGTGTGATTGCCCAGAATCTAAGAACTATTCCGAACATTTTGAGTACCAAAGGTTGTTGCAGTTCCTAATGGGGCTGAATGAAACATATAGCCAACCTAGAAGCCAGATTTTGATGCTAAGTCTTGTGCCCACAGTTAACAAAGCTTATTCTATGATAGTTTCTGAGGAAAGCCAAAGAGCTTTAGGAAAGTTTTCTCAGACTGTAGACATAGGAGATGGAACAACATTTTTCACCAACAAAGGAATGAACTCAGGAAATAACTACAAGCCCAGGAGAGGGAATCTGTTCTGTGAGTACTACAATTATAAAGGGCACACAAGAGATACCTGCTTCAAACTGCATGGACACCGAGCTGATTTTAAAATGAGGAAGAAAGCAACATGTTTTCCTCAAAGACCTATGGCTAATGCAACTACACAAGAGGGACAACAGTCAATGATAAAGCAGATGACCAATACAACTTCATAAAAAGAACAACAAATGATGAACACACCTACTACAAATCTAGCACAAGGAATGCCAATCATGTTCACTCAGGAGCAGTATGATCAAATCTTGAAGCTGATCAATAAAGACACAGGTGAAAACACAAAAGACTTTACAGGTATAACAAAGACTCTTGTTACAAATGAAACAGTTAAAAATGAGAATTGGATAGTAGACTCTGGTGTAACCAATCATATGGTTCACACCAGAGAGCTTCTTGATAAGATAAACGCAGACATTCTAGGCAATGCACCAAAGGCATACTTACCTGATGGGACCTCACTTGATGTTGAATGTACTTGAGAGAGTAGAATTGGTGAAAACGGTGTTGTTAGGAATGTTCTGTATGTTCCAAATTTTAAATATAACCTGTTATCTGTGTCCAAACTTACAAAGGGACTTAAGATGCTTTATCTCCTTTTATCCCGACTTTTGATAATGCAGGACCTTCAAAGTGGGAAGGTGAAGGGGATTGGTAAGGAACTGGAAGGTTTGTACAACTTGCAGCATCAGAAACTTGAAGCCAAGGCTGCAAATGCACATCTTCAGGATCATTCTGTGCAGGAGGAGGATTTGAAAGTATGGCATGGAAGGCTTGGGCATGCCCCAGATAGAGTGGTGAAACAGATTCCAAATATGAAGTTCAAGGCTAGTAGAGATGGAATAAATGAATGCACAATCTGTCCTTTGGCTAGACAAGGCAGATTGCCTTTCCCTAAGAGTACAAGTAGATAAAATAAACCTTTTCAGTTGATTCATGTAGATATTTGGGATCCATATAGAGTGCAAACTCATAGTGGACATAGATTTTTTCTTACTATAGTAGATGAATGCAGTAGAATGACATGGATATACTTACTGAGGCTCAAGAGTGATGTGGTTGTATGTTTGAGACAATTTTTAGCCTTAATAAAGACTCAATTTGATATGATTGTGAAAGTGTTGAGAAGTGATAATGGATCTAAGGTTTTTTAATTCTAAATGCAATAGTTTGTTTCAGTCTTATGGAATGCTCCACCAGAGTTCCTGTGTCCATATCCCACAACAAAATGGGGTAGTGGAAAGAAAACAAAGGCACATACTGGAAGTGGCTAGAGCCATTAGGTTGCAAGGTTTTTTGCCTCTCAAATTTTAGGGGGAGTGTGTGTAGGCAGCTGTTTATGTAATAAACAGGTTGCCTCTATCAGTGTTGTTAGGAAAGTCATCCTTTGAGGTGTTGTATGGAAGAATACCATTTCTACAGCACATGAGAACCATAGGGTGTTTATGTTTTGCTAAGACAGTAGGAGAAAGAGACACGTTTGCAGCCAGATCAATTGGAGCTCTGCTGATGGGATACTCATCATCCTAGAAGGGTTACATGCTGCATAACATTTTAACTAACTCTTTCTTTGTAAGCAGGAATGTCAAATTTGTGGAGCATATCTTCCCATTCCAATTACTTAAGAAAGGAAAGTTGCAACTATTTCTTAATGGTGTACTAGACTCTCCAGTCACTACTGATACAGTACCATCTCAAAGTGCAAATGTCCCAGAACAATCAAGATCACCAGATGATGACACATCCTTCTCAGCAGTACCACCTGATACAGATAACCATGCTGCAGATGCACAACCTTCCTCACCACATTCTCTGCCCTTTGAGGACATACAAACTCAACAATTACCTTCTTCAGAACAATATACATTTGCTCCTGTAGAACACCAGCTAAGGAAATCAGCTAGGACTGCTAAAGAGCCTGTGTGGATGCAAGATTATGTCTGCAATGGTTCCTTAACAAAATCAGATAGCAAGCACTTTTGCAAGTATCCAATGTAGAACTATTTGACTCATATAGGGGTATCAGTTAGGTATCAGTCTTATTTGTCCAAAATCTCTAGCATTAGGGAGCCTATGAATTATGAGGAAGTTGCATCAGACCCCAAATGGATTGATGCTATGACCCAAGAGCTGATTGCACTCAAGGACAATGAGACTTGGACTTTGGTACACTTGCCAGCAGGGAAGACTCCTATTGGATGTAAGTGGGTGCTCAAGATAAAGTATAAGGCCAATGGGGAGATTGAAAGATACAAGGCACAACTAGTAGCCAAAGGATACAATCAAATAGAAGGCCTAGACTATCAGGAAACATTTTCTCCTATAGTCAAGATGGTGACAGTAAGAGTAGTCATAGCTTTGGCTGCAGCAAACAACTGGAATCTACATCAGATGGATGTCTATAATGCATTTCTACAAGGAGACCTCACTGAAGAAGTCTATATGTGTTTACCCCAGGGATTTTCCAGCCAGGGGGAGAAAGTTTGTAGGCTGCATAAATCCCTATATTGCTTAAAGCAAGCTTCAAGACAATGGAACCTAAAACTAACTGAGGCATTGCTCAATTCAGCTTTGTGCAGAGTCACTTTAATTACTCCTTGTTCACAAAGAAGCAAGGGACAAAACTAGTAATCATCTTAGTATATATAGATGATCTTCTCATAACTGGGAATGATCAAGGACTGATTTCTGAGGCAAAAGCCATACTGCATGGGGTAACTTCAAGATCAAGGACTTGGGGGAATTGAAGTTCTTCCTTGGGATTGAGATAGCAAGGTCCAAGGAAGGAATACTGATGAATCAAAGGAAGTCTGCAATAGCAGGGTCAGAACCAGTGACCACACCAATGGAATGCAACCAAAGATTCACTACTGTGGAGTATGATCAACATATGAACTGGAAAGAAGATGAGAAGCTGGAAGACTCAGGGCCATATCAGAGATTAGTTGGAAAGCTACTATATCTCACCATGACTAGACCAGATATATGCTATGCAGTTCATGTACTAAGTCAGTTTATGCACTGTCCAAAGAAATCCCATATGGAAGCTGCAGTAAGGGTTGTTAGGTATATCAAAGGAGCTCCAGGATTGGGGTTGTTGATGAGCTCTAAACAGTCCACTAAGCTTACAGCCGTTTGTGATGCTGATTGGGCATCATGCCCAGTTTCCAGGAGATCAGTAATAGGATATGTGATGAAATTGGAAAATTCATTAGTGTCATGGAAGTCCAAGAAACAATGCACAATCTCGAGGAGCTCAACAGAGGCAGAGTACCGGAGCATGGCAGCAGGAGTTGCAGAAATTTCATGGTTGACAAAACTTTGTAAATAGCTG